CCAGGAAGGGCTTGGAATCTACTTGGGGAAGGTGGGGAGGTTGGGCTGAAGGCGGGGCTTGGCTCAAGCAGATGGGAAGAAATAGTGCCGGATACAAACTAGGAAGGAGAAAATTCACTGCCTCGGGGTTAAGGTGAAAAAGCACAATTGCAAACACCTACTCCATGCTAGGCACTGTTGGAAGTATGAACTCATTCAGAGAGAACATTTTACATTTAGAACCCAGAGGTAGACAGGCGAGTGAGGAACGAGAAATGTGGGATCATGGCTAAAGGCATGAATAAAACCATTCCAAAGAACTGGTTATAAGATGTACTGACCTGTTTACCTCCCCCCCAACAAAAAAAGGGGGTGCCTGTGTGGCTCAGTTGGTTAAGTTTCTGACTTTTGATTTTGGCTTGGATCATGATCTCGGGGTCTTGAGATCGAGCCCCACGTTAGGGTCTGAGTGGGCAAGGAGCCTGCTTGGGATTCTCTCCCTCTCCCCCTCCTCCCTCTCTTAAAAAAAATTAAATAAGGGTGACTGGGTGGCTCAGGCAGGTCATGATCTCAGGGTCCTGGGATGGAGCCCCACATGGGCATCAGGCTCCCTGCTCAGCAGGGAGTCTGCTTCTCCCTCTGCCCCCCCCCCGCTTGTACACACACTCTCAGATAAATAAAATCTTTTAGAAAATAAATAAAAGAAATAATAAAAAAAGATGTACTGACCAGTTTAAAATCAGAGACTGTAGCTTGGCTGCTTGTGTGGCAGGCAAGAGCCTCTTTCTTCACAACTCTGTTCAGCGGGATCACATTGGTAGCTTGAAATGGGCCATGGTGGGAGCATTTACAGGGTGGAAATCAGCAAATGCTGCAAAGCAGGGCTCTCTATCCCCTCGCCCCTGATGGCCAGTTTGCCGGCCACCAGCCCAGAACAGTGGTATATTTATGGGGTACTGCCTATTTAATGAATCCGTTCAGCAAGCATTGCTTTGGTACATACTCCGTCCAAGCTGCCAACTTTAAGGTATTATCTAAGGTGCCAGAGATGGATCAATGAATAAAACAGACATAGACCATGCCCTCATGGAGTTAATGATCTAGTGGGGGAAACAGAAACACTGTCAGTGCAATCAGTTCAACTGTGAGCCACACCGCAGAGGAGAAATACAGGGGGCAGCAGCTATCCACCCTCTCCACCTGCACCACAGCTCGATTTTCCAGCATTTTCAATGCAGATGCCAAGCACACTGCCCCCGATACTTTCTCACGGCTCAAGCCTGCAGCCAAGCATTCCCTATCACTAGCGAGTAACTTCTTCCACGCTGGGCGGGGCCCCTACCCCGGTTCTCAGAGAGCTTTTCAGCCTTGGCGGGGGGGGGCGGGGGGGGTGGAGAACTGATGCCCTAGCAGAGCCTTCTGCGCAAAGCCAACCTCTTTCCCTCCTCGCACCTGGCCAAGCCTAGCTCCCTGCCACTCTTCTGCTCCCCAGGACATCGTGGTTTCCATGGGAACCCACTCACTTCAAAGGGGAACGAAGGAGACCAGAGGGGAGGAGGGAGAGCAAAAGCTGGATTAACCTCACCCTCCTGGCCCTGTCTCTGTGCAGCCTGGCAACCTAACTACCAGGTCCTGGACAGCACCGAATGCTGTCCATCAGCATGGAGGGGTGGGGTGGGGTGGTCCAAGCTAAGTTTGAACTTCTTGGGGGAAAAGCCCCAGGGGTGGGGGTGGGGGGCTAGGGAAGGAGAGAACTGAGCTAGGTCCAAACCTACAGTCCCCACTGCATGGGGCCTCCCCTCCTCAGACCCCCACTCAGCATCGCTCTTGGGCCACAAACACAATTACCCGCGATGTGCATCCAATCATGGGATCTGCTCGGATTAGACTGCAATCATTAATCTGAGCGGGAGCTCCTGGTTGCCTTGCTGATTAGCCCAGATGATGCTCTGGTATGATCCAATTAAAGACAGACTGCCTCCCCTCTCCCCAGCCACACTCAAACACACACACACACACACACACACACACTTTCCACATCAGAAAGAACCAATACATTTCATTAACACGTCCTCATACACAAAACCTCAGGGGCACTGGCAGGCTCCCTGGGCTCACAGGCACACCCCTCCCTTTTGTCACACTGTGCCCCTGCCACCCTGCAGGGGCCTGGTCAGAGAAGGGCCCCCTCCACCCTTCCTTCATCTGTGGTTCTGGGATGGGCCTCGGTGGAGTATCCCAAAAGTTGGTGCTGGGCACTAATCTGAATCGAAAGAGTCTTGTTACATTTATTGACATAAAATGCCGACTCCCCGATGTGCCTGGGAGCAGCCAGGCTGCCCCAAGGCAGGCAAATCTAATTAAAATTACCCGACCCTTCAGGAGGCTGAGCTCCCTCTCCGGTCATCCTGCAATGGCTGTAGAGAGAGCAGCTGGTACTAATGGGACAGGTGTGGTTGTGAGAGAAAACCCCGGGCCCCTGGGGCAGGAAGGACTGCAGAGAAAAGCCGGGCAAAGGTGTTGGTTGTTCTGAGATGCTGGGCTGCCATGTTTGGCTGGGCCGTTGGTGGCAACCAACCTGGGATTCCTTCTTCATGGTCAGACAGCTGCAGAGATGATTTGGGCAAATGGCGAGGACTGTTGGGGGCTCAGCCCGGTGGGAGAAGGTAAAGCTCAGGTGAGCAGGAGGAAGTGTTGGTAGGAGGAAGATCTAGCCCTTTATATTTCAAGTGACATCATGATGGGCAGCTCCCATGAAAGAGGTAACCCACTTCTCCTGCAGGTTGGCCTGGGTGGGGAATGAGCCTGAGATCTTGGGAAGGGCCGAGGAACCCATCTGTACCAGACACAGTGCCAGGTGCTTACAGGGGCTCTCAGTGATCTTACTAAGCCTACTGGTTAGCTTCTGTCGGGAAACTAAAGCTCCGAGAGATTAGTACACAAAGGAGGGGGGATGCAAGCCTGGGTTTCCAGAAATGTTTTGTTATGCCACTAATCAGGGGTCTTTCTAGGCTACAGTCTGTGCTCATTACACTGTAATGAGACTCCCTGTCCCCTAGGAGTCTGCAAAGGTGCCTAGGATGGTGGATGGTGCATACATGCCTCACGTGGTGCGAGTGGGACCTGAGGGTCTGCATCTCTCAACAGCTCCCGGGTGATGCAGTGCTGCCAGTCCCCGGGCCATACTGTGGGTAGCAATGCTCTACATGGAGTATGACGGCTGTCCCACCAAGCCGTGAGACCATCAGGGGCCATGGTACTCTCCTCTCCCTTCGGACGCTCCAACACAAGCCCAAGACCACCTTGCAGTTTAATTTCCAGGTGCTCGTGTAGCCTCATCTCCCCACTCCCAGTTGCTCTGGCCACTGGCCATTCTTGGAACACAGAGGCCCTGCTCTGTCCGGAAGGCTCTATTCCAACCCATTTCTCCTTCCGGTGGACTCTCTTCTACCCTTTATGATCAAACTCAAATATTGCCGCCTCTGTGAAGCCTTCTCTGTTAAAGCTCTGACCACAAGGTGTTGGTTTCTTGTCTGCATATTGGTCCATTCCCGGGGAGACAGGGAAGAGTCCAGGCATTTGCTTTTGTAGGTTTACCCTCTTTCACCTGGAGTCCAGCTCAGCGCCTCCACATATTCTAGTGAGGGGTTGATAAAACAGCAGGAATGAAGGAAGGAAAGGAGGACAGGAGTGCTCCATCTGACTGGTGCTGTGACCAGATCTGGGAGTTCTCTGGGGCCCAAAGCAGGGCTCTCTCCCGCAGGCAAGCTGGGCCTGACCTGTGCACTGGGTAGAGTGGGGCACAGGCACAGTGACTCATCCTTCCACCGGGGCTGGGAAAGACCCTCGCGGCAGGACCTCTGGATCAGGCCCATGTTGGCATTAGAGGCTTTCGGCTCATCTGAGTAGCTAAAAATAATGCCAACGATAATGAGAGTAACAGCAATAATTACCACCATTACCATAACAGCACTGTCATTTCGGGGAGGAGTGAGGAAGGGGTCAATCCTCTTCCCATTCATCTTGGGTGGACCATTCCACCTGTCACTGATCCTGGCACCTGCTGCAGCGTGTGCGAGGTCCCAGGCGAGACGTGCTCGCGGCATGCGCGGGAATGTCTGTGCTCACACAAGTGAGTGTGAGTAAGGGTCCAACCTCAATACTCAGCATTGACTCAGGCATCTTTTCTAGCGGTGTGGGCTCTGCACAGAGACGTAATGACTAAAATCTCTGCTGGAGCTTCGTTCAGGCTGCTCTCAGACAACTGCCTCTTCTCAACCGCATACACAGAACAGCCAGCCCCTGAGCCCCTCCCACCCTCTGCAACATTCAGGGCCCGGCCCTGCTCTCAGCGATCTCCCCATCAGGAGGGAGGGCCCCGGAACCTATGCAGCGGCACACCACAGCTCTTGCTAACAAAGACAACCATGAATCAGATGTGCTCCAAGGACCAGCTGCATTAGATTCATCTAGAATGCTTTTTAAAACATTCATCTTCCTTTTCCTATAGTTTGACCTACTGATTCAGCATTTCTGAGCATGAAGCCCAGAAATATGCATTTTAATAAGCTCTCCCCAGTGATTTTCAGGCATACTAAAGTTTGTGTAATACCAAGTCCTAGATGGTCCTGGCAGATGTCCAGTGGTCCAGTGGGCTTGCTGGAGTGAAGGCAACAATGGGGGACGTGCAAGGAGAGCATCCCGAGGTGGCCGTCAGCGGAGCTGAGGGTTTCTGATGCCCACGAGGGCTCAATCCCCAGCTGGGATGAGGAAAGGGTCCTTCTGGAAGATTCTTCCCTGGGCTCTCTTGCCCCTCACTAGACAATCCCAGGAAGCTAGCGTCAACCCACAGCAGCCAGCTGAGGTATGTCCAGATTGATTTGAGAGAGAAGGTGGTGAGGAGAGTGGCTGTTGGCCACGGCCTTTATGAGCCCACCCACTGGCCTGCATGCTCATCTCTCAGGGCCGAGCTGGACCGGAGGCTGCCTGGGGCTTCCGGACACAGCTGAAGAGTCTCCTACCTGTACACAGCTCGCTTGTCAGCCTCCAGCTGGGCCTGGGGGTCAATGGGGGCACTGGGCACAGGCGTGCTGGCAGCAGCCGAGGGTGCGGAGATGTGGACAGCCTGGGTCTTAGAGGGAGCCTGGGCAGTTGCTGTCATCTGTGGAGAGAAGAAAGGGGAGGCGGCGGGTTAGTGTGGCCAGGACAGCTGGCCCCCAGCTGGAATTGGGAGGCCTACCTTGACCTGTGGTGTGTGTGTGAACGAGACAATGTGTGCCAGGGAACAGTGATTGTATAACAAGCATCCATTTGTTTACGTGCTCCAGTGAGAAGAAAGCATTCTTCAGATGAGAACATTCTAGAGAATAATTTAGGACCGTACAAAACCAGGTGGGGCATCAGCTCTCTTCAAAAGAGACGATTCTTAATGCAAATGAAGGTCGTGACCTCTGCCAAGATGCAGAAATAAACCAAAATGATGAACCCTTTAAATTGTGCTTATGGGTCATTTGGGCTGTTCTGGGCAGTAATAAGTTGATTTGATGACTTTGAAGAGCAGGAAAAAAAATAGCTGAATCAGTTCTCATTTGGGCAGAGCTTTATTCCATTTCACTCAAGCCAGAAGTAACTGTTTTAATTGATAATTGAATGGGTCTCTAAATTTGGTTTCCCTGGGCACTTGGAGTAAACAGATTTTAGTGGACACTGGAGAGACTTCTGTTCTTAGCCATAACAAGTATTTTGGGTAGTGATTTTTGTTCTATGTGATGTTTTTGAAGGTATCCCTAGGCCCCTGATTTTGTGCCAGAGCAACTCCTTCTAATGTTATATATTGGACTTTCTGTATAAAATTTTATTTAAAGAAAGGATTAGGTGGCTTAAATTTTTGGATGACCATCATTACAGAATTTAATGCTTTTATAAGATATTTTCTTTCGTCAAATGGATCCCTAAAATGTCACGAATGGTGACCCTGCCTCAGCTCTTCTCTTCCGCTAGTCTGTACACAGCACTGTTGGGCTTGATATACCTGTCTGCCCCCTGCACTAAAGCCGTGGTTCCACCTTCATCCATGGCACCCAATGGACACAGAGTAGATGCTTAGCCTTTGTTGAGAAAATGAATGAGTGAATGAATGAATGAATGAATACATCTTGAAAGAGTCAGATGTTTTACAGTTGGAATGTTCATCATAGATCTAGGTCCCTTCCTCCTGAAAGGAAAAGCGTGGTCCTCCTGTCAATACAAGCACATTATTGCTAGTACTGATACCCCCAAGACATTTGTTTTTGCTGTCTCATTTACCTCATTTAGATTTTTGCTCAGTTGCCATGTGTTCAGCTTGAAACAGAGCCCCTCTGTCCCTTGCTGTCCCCTTACTCTGCTTTCTTTCATAGGCCTTTCTATGATCAGAATTACACATCTACTTGCTTAGTTATTTTCTCTCCCACTCCCAACTAAACTTTAAGCTCAAAGAGGGCTTGATTAGCAGTTGTATTCCTAGGGCCCAGAATAGCCAGGCACTAGTAGATGCTCATAAATATTTGGGGCTCAATAAATGATTGGCAGATTGTGAATGAGCTCTTTCATTTCTTAAAAGAAACCTATCTGCTTTATTATACTGGATCCCCATCATTTTTTGTTAGGAAGAGATAACCTTGTCACTGTTGACTGGACTGGGGGAACTCTCCCAAACTCAGAGCATGGGAGGCTAGACAGAGCATCATGGTATCTTCAAGCCAGAAGACGACTGCTTGAATCCTACCATCTCCCATTATTAGCATTTGACCTTGGGCAAGTCCCTTAACTTTCCTAAACTCCTACTTTCTCATCAGGAAGCAAATGGTGTCATCTTAGGACCCATGGGTATTAAAGAGGTGCTATAAGGACGAAAGTAGAAACAAATGTTCCAATTTTCAAAATAGAGAAAGAAGGTGGAATCAGAAAAACTGAATACTGCTCATTTTCACATTGATCTGGGCCAGTCTCTTTTGTCCACTAATGCAAACAGTCGTTTCTTCAAATATTCCCTGAGTTCCTAGGCACCGTGCTGGGTAGGCACTGAGGTGACAAGGCTGAGTGCCTGCTCTCATGGAGCTGTTTCTGGATTTAACATGGTTGCTATGCTGGCAGGTGAGGAAAACTTGTAGACACGGATGGTGTAAGTGACCTCAGCAAGGTACCTCCCGCGACACCCTTGTGGAAGACATGGAGAGCCGTGACCGGCAGACGGCTGCATGGATTAGGAAGCTACACCCAAAGGGTGGCATTTAAAGGATAGAGGTCAGCTAGGGGAAGGTTTCTAGGACATGCTTTCTCCTTAGGCCTCTTCTTTAGTATATTTATCAGTGATTGAGAAGGGGGCTGAAGAAATGCTCAGCAAATTTATAGGTGACATATAAGACTGAGATCCAAAAGATCTTTACAGATTTTGGCCACAGGCTAAGTCTAATAAGATTAATTTTCATCTAATAAGTCAGAATTTAATGCTTCTAATACTTGGGCAAAAAAAAAAAATCAATAATATAAGTGCAGAACAGGAGAGACATGGTTTAACAGCAGTGTTTGAGCTGACAGAAAGCTCAAAATTTCCAAAGTGTAATGCGTCTGTCAAAAAACAAACAAACGAACAAACAAAAAAAACAAAGACAAGCAACCTCACCTAGTGCTATCTGAGGATGCATGAACAGAAGCATGACTCACACAAAGCCTCTAGTCCCACTCCTCTCTGCTGAAGCAAGTATAGGAAAGTACGTTCAGAGAATTGATCAGGTTGGTGAAGGGATTCTGCATTATGTCGTAGGAGGAGTATTTGAATCTGGAATATGTAAGAAAGATTTGAGGGACAGCAGAGATGAGACATGGGAGCCCCCTTTGAATATCTGAACAAGGGATTAGATTATATCGGTTCTGCTCTGCAGGCCCCAAAGGGTCAAACTACAAGCAATGCATTCAATCTATATAAACATGGAGACAGATTCGGGCTCAACCCAAATAATAAGTTTCCAAGCCTCTGAGCCGTTTGAGGCTGGAATGGGCTCCATCCAGGAGGCGGTGAATTTCGACTACTGCAGGGGCCAAGCAGAGACTGATCGGCTGGGCCCCTGTGGAGGGGATGGAAACTCTAGCTGGGCAGCATCTGAAGTCCCAACAGGGACAGGCTCAGACACCATCAGGGTACTCTAACAATCACCACCCACAGCACAGGGTCGACCAGAGGCTCTGACTGGAGGATGTATAGTATGTAGGAGTGCTTTGGAAAACTCCAAAGCGCTCCCAAGATGGAGGGGTGGTGGTAGTTAAACACATGATTTCCAGAATGTGCTTCTTTTCTAAACAAGGCACAGCTATGCCTGCAGAGCTTGATTACAGGTGAGATGTAGGGGTGGCTGGTATGCTCCACCTTGCCCCCCCAAAGGGTGAATTTCCTCGGGTCCTTGAAGGAATCCACAAGGGACTTCCATGAAGATGAGCATCTAGGAGAGAGGGATGAGGGGAAATGCTTTTCCTCTCACTTCCTCTTTCTAGGCAGGACTGCTGGGTTAGAGAGGAAAGCACAGAATAAGAATAAATCAAAAGCGGTCACTTGCTAGCATCCCAAGAGGCCCCAGCTAAGAGGCTGCTCCTGGGGCTCAGGGAGGGGGTGGGGGCAGGAGAAAGCCGATCTGGTCTGAGTAGGACAATGATTCAAATTTATTTAGCTCCTGGGGGCCAATTCAGCAAACTCTGCATTTCCTCCAGGTTTGGAGAATGAGTGTTTACCTCCGAATAGATCCCCTTTTCTAGCCAGGGACTTCCCATTTCCCAAGAACTGAAGCTCCCAGGGAGAGGCACCCCCTCCCACCCCCCCCACCCCCCCCCAGCCCCCAGCTGTTTCCTCAGAGCCTCAGGGGAGCAGATCCACGTGTGGAGGTGCTGGGAGGATGTTTCTGGGCAGCCCAGAGAACTGGTTGTCAGACATTTACTAGCACGCCTAAATGTCAGGCATTCGCTCCAAGTAACTGTCCTGTTCTGCTCGGT